TTCGCATTTATTGCCCTATCCAGATGAAATTTTGCACAAATTGGAGATAATCGGTCAAAATTTATATATAGCTCCCATATATATCTTCGTCCGATTTACCTTTTATTGTACACAAAACATGTTATATCAGTCCGAATAGTATGGAATTTTGCCGATTTGTATATAAGTATGCCAAATTTGCCGATTTGTTATTTCTGTCCTCCGCAGCCGTAAAATGCACTCTGTAGCAACAATATTTGGAGAAAATTATCAAATGCAGCTCAGAAATACCTTTGCTAAATATTATCGAGATCGGTTCAGTTTTGGATTTAGCTCCCATATATAACTTCGTCCGATTTACCTTTTATTGTGCACCAAACCTCTAATATTTTTCCAAATGGGATGGAATTTTTGCACATACGATCGAATTGAGTCTAGAGGCTAGTATGACAAATTTGGTGAAGATAGGTTCAGATATAGCTATAGCTCCCATATATATTGTTCATCCGATTTGTTGTATTTGTTACCCACTGCCGTAATATGCACTCCGTAACATCGATATTCAGGGAAATATATCAAATACAGCTCAGAAATATCTTTGCCAATTTTTATCGATCGATCGGTTCAGATTTGGATATAGCTCCTATATATATTTTTATCCGATTTGAACTAAATTGTGCACCAAATGGGCTATACATATTCGAATTTAAAAGATGCAAATGCTTCGCCATATTTAGTCCTTTGAACTTTAAATTATTATATAATTATAATCTTAGCGTATATGATTGAATTCTCGCATAAAAACTTTTTATTGTTATGTGGAGCTCTAATAAATTAGCAAAGTGGTGTAGGGCATCATAAAGTCGGCCTCGCCTGACTTTAGGACCTTCTTTACTTGTTTAGAATGAAGCCAATTAAAGAACTCGCTAAAATCATTAAAGGAATGAAGACCTTCAAATTAAAAAAAAATAAGATCATAAAAGGGCCCTTCAAAAATCAATGGCTTCTAAAAACTATAAATTTTGACTATTCAATTCTCAAAATAGTCTGAAATTTCACGTTTTTTTCCGTCAGGAGCTTCTTGAAAATGTCTTCTGGTAAAACCAGGGAGAGAAAGTCATTTATAATATTGTAGCAAATACCCGTTGCTTCGTATGCCGAAAAGTGGATTTATATTAAGTAAATTTATGTGTAATCCAAAAAAAAAAATTATCTCACCCCGAACCACCACCATCGACAAACATGCACAATTGTAAGATTCTAGCTTCAGCCGTTTCGCCTGAGCGTTGATTAATCAGTCAGTCAACTATTATACGCATTTATGATTATATTCACTTTTTCAATGGAATTATTTAAAATTCTACACAAGAAGTACTTTGTGGGAACATTACCACCTATAAGAGAATTGCCTCACAATCCACACAAGGAATTCCTTTTGAGTACTTACCCCCTGAAAGAGTTCAACGATATGGTATATATACTATATGTTTCATATTTGTTCTTTTTTTTTGGAAAAAAAATACCACGAAGTCATAAATTAAAGGGTGGGATGAAAAAACTGCAACAAAATTCAGATTTCTGTCATTTCTTAGCCTCTTAAAATTATTCCAATGACAGCTTATTATATTGTTTACAAGCGTAAAAAAGCATTTTGGTGAGAATTTTCCAGACACAAAAGTTATTCGTGATGGAATTTAAGCGTGATTGTGTGTAATTTCTTTATATTTGGCTGAAAACCCGCAAGTGGCTATCGTTAGAGCACTCCAGCATTTAAATGCGAATAAATCTTTTGTGTCTCGTAGCATCACTCGTTACCATGATACTGGTAGCGTAGCCAGTAGCGACGTCAAGGAAGTGGACGGAAGAAAACAGCAACATCAACAGAAATGATTCGAAAAGTAAAGAAGCGACTTGATCGAAACAAGCGTCGCAGTGGCCGAAAAATGGCTCATGAGCTGAACATATGGCAATATTCTATTTGGCAAATATTGAAAAATGAGCTCGGTGTAAAGCCATTGACATTCCAAAAAGTGCAAGAACTTACACCACAACAGAACCAAAAATAGAATTAAAAGTGCTAAAGAGTTGCTTCGCTTGGCTGAAGGTTTTGAACTGACGAATTTAATTTCCTCCGTCTCCGATGAGAAAACATTCGTTGTCCAGCAGTTTGTAAACAAACAAAATGATCGTGCTTACTTGCTAAAGAGGTCACCTGAAAATGTGCACCTTCGGTTGGTCACCAGGTGCACATAGAAGCGCCGGCCATGGTGATGGTGTGGGCCGCCATAACAGCCAATGCTCGCTCTCGGCTCGTATTAATCGACCGTGGCATTAGAATAAATGTCGAATATTACTAAATATTCTGGAGGGTGTATTAAAGCCTTGGGCAGGCAAACAATTTGGCCGCAGACCTTGGACATTCCACCAGGACCATCGCACTCAGCACGCGCCACCCAAGAATGGTTACAAAATGGGGTTCCTCGCTTCATTTCCTGCGCCCAATGGCCACCAAAATCTTCGGGTACCACTCCGTTGGTCTAATGTGTATAGAATATTTTGAAACGCAAGGTCGGCACTAAAAGATACCAAAGTATCAATCACCTGAAGCAAGCGCTTCACCGGGAATGGGCCAATATACCTCAGTGTAACATTCGGACAGCGTGTGACGGTTTCATTGGCCGTTTGAAAGTCATAATTCGTGCAAAAGGTAACCAATTCGAACAAATCTAAACTTATTCTAAAATTTGATGCTATTTCCGACATTTATTGCCTTCATTCAATAAAATTAAAAAAAGTAAAATTTATGGTGCAGTTTTTCATCCCACCCTGTATGTAATGATTTTTAGAAAATGTTGAAATGTGCGTGAGGTGCCAAATATAGTAGATCGAATTATTCCACTTTATCTAATACGTTGTGTGCAAAATTTAGAGGAAGTCGAATATTTATTTTCAACTTTATGCGAATAATTGCAAATCAAAATTTTTGTGGGGCAGGAGGTACCGGAGGGAGTGCTCAGAAAAATAGAGACCAATCCTTATTTAACATTTTATGCGAGACATACTAACTCAAAATTTGGACCCGTTGTGGAAGAGGTACCCGAAGGTGTGGTCCGACCTCTACCATTTTTATAACATATCTTGTGTTGATGGAAATATTAATTGTCTGTTTTTGCACCTGACCTAGCACAGCTGCAAATATTAGGATTTGCAAAGATGGAACAAAACCGGACTGTCCTTTCGCTGTCTGTGCAGTAAAATATTATTTTTGAAAATTTCGAACTTTTGTGGGGGAGGTACCAGAAGGAGTGGATCGATGTATTCCACCTTTACGCCAGACCTAGGGTTAAGAAAATTATTGGGATGTGTGAAATTTGAAGGCAATCTGACTCTACAAACAGAGTGGATCGATATCGCCCATCACCGAACTCGATCTATGTTTGAGAATAATATTACCATATTTAGACCAAATCGGATACTCTCTTCGTCTTCAAACAGACAGACGGACGGAAGGACGGACTTCGTTGAATCGACTCCAAATGTCCTGAAACGGAAGGATCTAAATCCGTTATTTTAATAAGGCACGTTTTGGCCGTATCAAATGATATATACCATGTCATATGGATGAGTATATTAAAATAACCAGCAACTACTACTTTTCACAATAATTGAAAGAACTCATTAATTTCTTATCCGGAGGATTAAGAAAATATTTGTACAAATCCCTGATGCTTGGGCCAAAAGTTATTGAAAAACATTTGTTAAAATTACTTTTTTTTTTCTGAAAATATTTGGAAAATATTAAAAAAAGATTAGGCTTAATCCCTTTATTGTTGTTTTTATATAAACAATATTTGTTTATTAGTGGAGAACGATGGTAATATTTATCAGGGGGTAAGGCAGGGAATACCTAGGTTTCGGAAAGAGCCACCAATCCTCATTAGTTCCCTTGTTTTAATAAACAAACGTTGTTTTTATAAAAACAAAAATAAAGGGATTAAGCCTGTTTATTTTGCAACAACAAAATACTATGGTATCACGAACAAACAAGCCAACACTGTTTAAAAAAATCATTTATAGTCCGAGTCTTTAAAGTAATTCTTAAAAAGACACCGCTTGTGCTGAGAAGTCCCTACATTCCCACATAGAAATTCACGATTTTTTGCGTAAAAATTCTTATTCCGAAAGTTTCTCAAAATTTGAAAAAAAAAACTTTTCAATAATTATTTCGGACAAAAAATGTTTAAGAAACATTTAGGACGAGAATTTTACAGATTAAATCTTGATTTTTTTTAAATAAATATAAAAATAAGCCTCCACAGGAACCATTTCAAGTCATTTTTTGACGTTCTGCTGTAGCTATATTGGCTCAAAGTTTTTATAACTAAAACTTTGATTCCGAACACATTTAAATTTATTATTTTAATTTCATGACAAGGTAACAGAATGTTTCATTAATAATTTTAAAATTGTTCAGTGTTCGGCCTTGAAAAAATTTGTCCTGCCAAATTTAACAAAGCCAATAATGTATTCCATTTCAAGACTTCTATTTTTCGATAGGACAAAAGTAATTTTCTTAACTATGGCAATCAAGTGGCAAACTTTGCCCCACAAAGCCGTCTCCCTCTTGAGACAACATCTCATTCGATACCTTTGTCAAAAAAAATCCACCCACATGTTCTACAAATATTTCAATTGGAAATTGATGTCTCCTCGACATTAAAACAGTAATAAATCATTTGATATAACATCCCCGCTTCCAACCCCCATCGGGACCCATTTGGGGAATAGAAACGTATCCAAATACCTTGCCACGATAGAATTGATGATGATAAATAAAAATATTAAAAAGAAACACACATACTCTCACATAACTGTGTCATGTATTCACAGAACAATCTCAAAAATTTTAAATTCGTGTGGAACCAAAAATTTTTTTTTTTTTTTTTTTTTTTGGGTGGGAGGGAGATGGTACAATTTTTTTTAATCAATTTCATATTTGTTAACAAAATGTTTGTACTTACTTTTTCCGGAAACCATGGTGTCACAAATGGCATTTGAAATGTGTTGCTGTACGAGTGCAGGGTGTCAAAGGAATCCGGCGAAACGGCGCCCAACATTGAGTAAACTCCTCGTGAAAATTGATTGCAAACTGAATGGCCCGCCGAAAAAAGCCGCAGATGAGGGTTTCATTTGATGAATCGGATGTGAGGGGGATAAAAAGAGAGAAGGAGAAAAAACAAAACGAAAGAGAATCAACATAAATATCAGTGAAAATCAAATATACGCACTGAATACCAGCACACAACAACAATAAGAACAACAAAAATCATCATCATGGATTGGATTGGCTTGGCTTGGCTTGAAAACCATTTTCAAAAATATTGGGAATAATGCTTTTTTTGCACACAATAGTCATCGACCCAAATTCAATGATGGAACAGCGAAACAAAAAAAAAAAAATACAACGAGAAACGATGGAGAAGAAAACAAATAACAAACACAACAAAGCCAGCAAATGAGGGATATGAAATAAAATCCAGCCCCCCTCCCCACCACCAAACAATAACCATGGGCCCCAAACTCCTCGCACATCAAACATAACAAACAAATGAAAGAGAGAAAAAAGTGCATTGAAATCTGTTACAAATCTGCACGAAAAGAGGAAAGCAATTAAAAGCAAACATAAAAAGGAATTACAGCAGAGATTTCAATAACAACAAAAAAGGGGGAAAACAACAACAAACAGAAGACGAACACAAAATTGCAATGCCTTCCAAACACAATCGGACCTTAAACATAATTAATGTTAAAGCGTGTCATGCGTATCGTGTCATGACGAGCGACGACCATGAATGACGTAGCCGCCATAGTTTCTTGTTCGCAGCGAATGAAAGTAATGCAACATGAAAATGCAACAAAAAGGATAAAAAAAGGACACGCAACATAAAAAAGGCTAAAAGTATTCGTGTCGCTCGTTCGTTTTCTTTTTTTGTTTTTTGCGGCCGTTCCAACTTGACCTCAATACGGGCCATGCCGTGGCAAACCAGGAAAGCCAACGAAGGCAAAAAAAAAGGAACACCAACAGCAACACGATTTTTACTTAGCATAAAAATTAATGGATGAAACGTACTTAAACGCGATAGCTTAAATGCATCCGCTGTGTTAATGACATCCACATATGCCTGCAGCTCGAAACGCCGCGAGGATACATTTAGATTGTGATTCAGCATGGCATACTTGAAGGCCGATTGCACCTCATCTGTTCCTTGTTCAAAAATTGCACCTGTAAATGGAGAGAAGAAAAAAAAACGGAATATGTAATAATAAGTAATTGGTTCAATAAAAGGAAAAATTCTACGAAGGAAAAAATCAAGTTAACAACTATTTTTTAAGGTACACGAAATTTAGATTTAAAAAAAAAAATTATCCAGGAACAATGACGGGGATTTTTAAAGAATATTTGTTCAAAGTTTTTAAAGAATATTGTTCAAGGATTTTTGAAAAATATTTTTTTGGTATAAAACAGGCAATTTTGAAAAACATTTTTTAAGTACAAAATGTGCAATTTTGAAAAAAAAATTTCAAGGATAAAGCCTGAAATTTTGAAATATAATTTTCAAGGATATAAATTGGATTTTTTTTTAAAGATAAAGATATAAAAGATATATTAAAAAATATATTTTAAGGCACACAATATTTAGATTTTTTAAGAGAATTTATCAAGGACCAATGACGAGAACTTTTAAAGAATATTTTTTCAAGGATTAACGGACGACTACAATTTCGAGAATAAAACGTGGATTTTTGAAACATATTTTTCGGGGATAAATAGGGAATTTTTAAGGACATGTTTCAAGGATATAGCGTGGAAATTCGAAGGATTTTTTTCATGGATAAAACTTGGTTTTTCAAGGATAAAATGTGGATTGATGAAAGATATTTTTCAAGGACTAGCTGATATTTTAAGAACATTTTTAAAAATAACAAGTATAAAAAAGCTGTAAGTTCGGCCGGGCCGATCTTTGAGTACCCTCCACAATATGGAACAAATTTGGCAATTTAAAAAAAAAATTAAATCCGATAAAAATTCTGATAAAATCTTAATACTACCGAATGTAGCCGTTATATTAGGGTCTATTCGACGACGTGGGCCTGCATAGGCAACTTTTGTCATAAGCCATTAGAATATTCAAATAAGAAAAAAAAGTAAAAAACCTGTAAGTTCGGCCGGGCCGAACTTTAAATACCCTCCACCATTTAGAACGAATTTGGAAACTCTCAAAAACAATAAAATCCGTTAAAAATGCTGTTCAAATTTTAAAAATACCGAATGTAGCTGTTATATTAGGGTCTATACGACGACATGGTGAATAATGTAGCTAAAATCATCAAAGTACCGAATATCGGGAGGTATCGTTATATGAGAGCTATACCAAAACGTGGACCAGCACAGACAATTTTCTGTCTTAGGCTGAACTATCCATTTCGAACTACAAATTTGAGATTTTTTCAAGGACCTTTAGAACAATAAACGTGGATTTGTAAAGAAGATTTTTTTTCAGGGACCTTCAGACGAGTAAACGTGGATTTTTAAAATTATTTTTTCAAGGATATATAAGACCGACAAACGTAAATTTTGAAAGATTTTAAAAATAATTTTTTAAGGGCCTATCGATCAATAAACGTGGATTTTTAAAATTAATTGTTTAAGGACCTGTAGATCATTAAACGTAAATTTAAAATATATATATATTTTTTGAATAACCTTTAGATCATTAAAGGTAAATTTAAAAAAAATATATATTTTCAAAGACCTTCAGATCATTAAACGCGGATTTTTAAAAAAGTATGTTTCCAAGGACCTTTAGATCATTAAACGTGAATTTTTAAAAAGAATATGTTTTAAAGGACCTTTAGACCATTAAACGTGAATTTTTAAAAAGAATATGTTTTAAAGGACCTTTAGATCATTAAATGTGAATTTAAAAAAAAATATGTTTTCAAGAACATTTAGATCAATAAACGTGGATTTTTTAAAAAAATAAGTTTTCAAGGACATTTAGATCAATAAACGTGGATTTAAAAACTTGGATTTTTAAAAGTATTTTTTAAGGACCTTTAGATTAATAATCGTGGATTAAAAAAAAAATAAGGACTTTAAGAGAAATAAAATTGATTTTTAAAAATACATTTTCAAGGACCTCAATTGCCACAAATGTGAATTTTTAAATACATTTTTTAAGGACCTCAATTGCCACAAATGTGAATTTTTAAATACATTTTCAAGGACCTCAATTGCCACAAATGAGAATTTTTAAATACATTTTTCAAGGACCTCAATTGCCACAAATGTGAATTTTTAAATACATTTTTTCCAAGGACTTCAATTTTCCAAGAATATTTTTTAACCACAAACGTGGATTTTTAAGGAATGTTTTTTAAACAACCTTGATAGCCACAAATTTGGATTTGTAAAGAATATTTTTTAGGAATCTTAATGGCTACAATTATGGATTTTTAAAGAATATTTTTCAAGCATCAATAAATCAACCAACAAAATGGATTTTTAAAAAAGATTTTTGCAAAGGCCTTTACAGCCACAAACTTGGACTATTTAAAATAGATTTAGTTTTTCATTACCACAATCATTGATTTTCAAATAAAATTTTTCTTAAAGACCAACAGATCATTGAATGTGGATTTTTAAAGAATGTTTTCTCAAGGATCAGCAGACCGAAAAGCGAAATAGACCCACAATTCCCTTTGATGATCTTCAAAGCATCATATTCTGAGACAATTGAAGCATTTCCGTCGGTCCGTCTGTTCGTCCGTTTGTCCATGTGTTTTCGTAAACAAAATACAGGTCGCATTTATTGTCCGATTTAAATGAAATTTTCCACAAGTTACTCTTGGTCCAATTAGGAGCTGTAGAAATTGATGAAATTGGTACATTCGGCCGAATACAGTCTGGAAGCAAGTCTATCAAATTTGGTGAGATTGGTCCAGATAATGCTTTAGCTCCCATATAAACGTTTCATTCGATTTGGTGTATAAGTCCCTCACATTCGTAATACGCTCTCCTCAACAATGATATTTAGTACCAAATGGTCCTTTAAAAATATTTCTTTAACAATCCACGATTATAGGTCGGATGGTCCTTGAAAAAAATTTCTTTAACAAACCACTATTATAGGTCGGATGGTCCTTGAAAAAATTTCTTTAAAAATCCGCGATTATTGGTCGGATGGTCCTTGACAAAAAATTTCTTTATAAATCCACGATTATTGGTCGGATGGTCCTTGACAAAAAATTTCTTTATAAATCCACGATTATTGGTCGTATGGTCTTTAATTTCTTTTTAAATCCACTTTATTTATAAATTCACTTTATATTTCTTTATAAATCCGCGATCCACGATTATAAATAGACCACGATTATTCAATGGTCCTTGAAAAAAATTTCTTTAACAATCCACGATTATAGGTCGGATGGTCCTTGAAAAAAATATTCGATAAAAATCTCCGTTTATTGATCAATGGATCCTTGAAAAAAATATTCTTTACAAATCCACGTTTGTTGGACCTTGACAAAATAGTCTTTAAAAATCGACGTTTGTTGGTCCTTGAAAAAATATTTTTTAAAAATCCGCGTTTTTTGTCTATGGGCCCTTAAAAAAATATTCTTTAAAAAATCCCATTTATTGGTCTATTGGTCCATGAAAAAATATTCTTTTAAAATCCACGTTTATTGGTCCTTGAAAAACTTTTTTTTAGAAATCCAAATTTTTTGTACCTTGAAAAAACTAGTTTATTGATCCGAAGTGCCTCTACCAAATTTTATCGATAACGGTTCAGATTTGGATTTAGCTCCCATCTATATCTTAATTTAACATAACAGCCCAGATTGGGTGGATTTAGCCATATTTAACCAAATTAATACTGTATCCAAATACGATATTACATGAAACTCGGTTCCCATGTAGATTCCCATAAATCCGATATACTATTTTTAATCTAAGCCTTTCTTGATGTCATATTTTATTAATTGTTGGTATGGTCTACTTCACATGAAAAACGTTTAGTGCGGGTAGCTCTTCTTAATATGCATAGTGCTGTGGGATATCATATAATCATCTCGCCGGACTTTTTTACTGGTTTTAGCTCTACTTTCATAACCTGCTGGATTTTCCCATAAGTAATGTTTGATATTTTAAGAATATTGTTTCTGTCTTGCCATATTTTTCATGAATGTCATAGAAATTGAAATTTTGTCAACACTTCTTAATCTACTCTTTAAACACTTTTCACTTTATCCCCAAAGCATGTAAAACCAAATTTGTAACCATTCATAAAATTCCATAAAAAAATTCCACTCTGAACATGATTCCGACAAACTGAAAACCTCAATTAATTTCCAACTTGTTTTCATGCATTGTGTTGTCCCAAAATGGAAGCTCTGCAAACTGTAAAGCCAACCAAGCAACCATTTGAACCTACCAACCGGCCCCGCAATGCTGGTAGTTACAACAAACAAAACAATTTTTAACTGAAAAATCCTTTGTGTTTAATTTGCTTTTCCATCATCATCAGCATTTTGGATGGCCTTCACCATTCTCGCCCAAATGTTGGGAGTGAAATGGAAATCGTGGCGAAAACAAAGTTCAGCGAAAAAATCTAAAGTTTTGATGATTGTATTGTTGGATTGTATTGTTGTATATTTTTTTGTTCATGTCTGGTACTCTCTCTTTCTCTCTCGTTCTCTGGAAGTTTGAACTTTGACTGATGGCAGCGATGGGGGTGAGGGTGGTGGTGGGGGGTACATAGGTTGGATGTTATTGTTTTGTAACATTCCTCATTTTACATGGAACACTTTGCTGGATATTGTGTAATATTAACCGTTAGCCAAAGGGATGTGGACCAACGAACCAACCAACCAAACACAACCAAGCATCGCGGCAGTATTACCTAGAAAATCAGTCAGCTAGTTCGTCAATCCTTTCACCAGCAACTCCCCTCTTTCCCCACCCCTCCACTCGTAATTTTTATTGGGGCCATAAAAAGTAAAACTGTTACATACTGACCAAAGTTTTAATGGTTTGTGAAGCCAAAACGAATTGTTTCATTTATACCACTACAACAACAACAACAACAACAAGAACAAGAACAACAACAACAATACACAACTTTAACGAAACAGAAATATTCATCATAACTTTTATTTACGATTGCCTAACATTGTATGAAATTCGCTAAAATAAACGCCAGCCAACATCGCAGGGGATTT